TCAGTATTCTGCAATTCTCTTAAGCTCTCAGGTGATGCTCATGCTGCTGGAACCTGCATCACACTTTGAGTAGCATGATTCTTGGGGGAACATTCCTGTGACTGAAATACTGGAGTTCAAGTTTAAACCAGAATCGACCTGCCCTTCCTTCTATTCATAGTAGTTAGCCCAATGAACTTTGGAAAACCACAAAAACTACACAAGCATTAAGCAAGTGCACACATTCAAAAGATAGTACTCAATGCCATTCCTGTCTTATAAAACAGCTAGAGGTCCAGTGCACGAAATTCATACACGGGGGGGCGGGTCCCTCAGCACGGCCTGCAATGACACCAGCATCCTGCACCCCAGTCTCTGGCCAGAGGCTCCTCCCTCCACGCGGCCAGGGCACGGGACGCTTGGCCCCCGGCCCCTCCCTCCATGTGGCCATGGTGCGGAATGCTGGGCTTGCGTCACCAGGGCAACGCCACCAGCGTCATCCACCCTCCCTATCCCTCCCCCCACTGCTATGGGCACCGTCATCTTTGTCACGGAGTGATGGTTAATTTGCATATTACTCTTTTATTAGATAAGACAGGTCCAGTTTCTGACAAATGCTTTAATATGTCCGTGGTGACCAGGTTCAAAAGACCTGGAAAATATCAAGTGATTGTAGGTTATTACTGCCCTTGGGTAACCTGGTGGAAGGATGATACAGAATCTGATATTTGCTTTTGTTTGCAAGATGGGTGTGTCCCTTGTTCCACGTCCTTAGCTCACTCTCTCCCACCTGTGTCGCCATGCACTGGCCTGCTGGATCCCAACTGCTGGCAAGCCTGCTAATCATGTTTGTCTGCACTGAGATAGTTGAGGTTGATATTAAGAATGTCTGAACCTGTCAGAGTAAAGAAAGTTGCCTCTGGAGTCTGACTGGAACAGGTGTTGGTAGTGGAAATTCAGCAATCTTCATGGAATGCTTTTGGGTTTTGTAGCACAGACCTGCTTGGATTTGCATTCTGCTTTGAACTGTGTTCTAGTTTAGGGACTTCTAAAGAGAGGATATTGATAACACTACATATGGGTTTTTCTAATGCAGCTAAAACATTCACCTGACTGAAATGGGGAAAGAGATGGTTAGAGTGCTAAATTTAAAAATTACTTAGGACTTGTAGGTGGTGTTTACCTCTATTTTTAATTCACAATTTTTGGCAGAAAGGTGACCCTTTATCACATAATGAGATCAGTGGCCTTGGAAGTTTCATTATCTGTAGTGCCTTGAAGGAAAGGTCCCTGTTGAGTGTTTAAGGATTTGTGAATTGAATGGGCACCAATGATCACAAATCTCCTGCCCTGCCTTTTCCCCTTCTTGCTTGTATCCTGTTCCATCAGTGCTTCTCAGCCCTGCTGTGGCACACTGCTGTTTGCAGGGCATCTGAGGGTGAATGGAAATAGCCTGTGGTGTCATGGGCTCTGAGGGACCAGCAGCTCTGACTCCTCTTTCCCAGGCTCACCCCATGGGATTGGGAATCTCTCTTTTACAATTGCTATTCTGACTCCTTGGAATTAGATGGATTTCTTCACTACATTACATGTAGAAAGTAGTTTAAGTGGAATTGCTTAACACAAAGGTATTACAGTATGGCATAAGAAAACAAGAAGTAGAAAAAATATGACATCCACTTTTACAAAATTCACAAACCAACAAAACTACATATGTTGTCAGATTACATATATATTGGTAAAATAAAGGAAATCAAGACAACTGCAAACAAAATTCATGATTAGTGGTTATTTCTGGCGTCAGGGACAGTGAGATTGGGTTGGGGAGTCCACACAGAGAACTTAAAAAATAGTGGTAATGTTTCAGTTCTTAAATTGGATGTTGGGAGTATAGAGGTTTATTATTAATATACTTTATAATCTACACATATATTTTTCCTTTGATAGTATCATGCTTTATAACAAAAATAAATTAACAAGCAGAGAATGTTTAGAAATAAAAGATCTTAATGCAATTCTCATTCTTGTCCCTAATTGTGTTGTTATTTTAAAATTACAAAAATATAACAGTATTAAGAAAAAGTCAGGGGGAGGGAACATCTGTAATACCATTTTTCTTACATAGTAATTACTTTTCTTTTTCTTCCGATATGAATGTTTATGTTCTTAGTTATAATCACTATGTATATCATGATATATGTTTATATTACATGGTGGATGGTGATCTTTATAGCCATTAGTTTTAATGGCTGAATAGTATTGCCATGAATGGTTAGCATAACAGTGTACTAACCATTCCTCTATGGTGGACTATTTAAATTATTTCAACTTTTCTGCTGTTACAGAACATATTCAAGGCTTTTACATTCATTCCACAAATAATTTATCTATGTGTAAGGCATTCTGCTAGCTGCTAGAATTTACAGTGCTAAGCAAAAAGAGCCATACACTCTGTCCTTGGGAATTTAGAATCTAATGACTAACAGTTCTTGATTGTATTTTGCATTTTAACCACATAACCCTTAGACTTAAAACAAAACACAAAAAACTTTTGAGCAAATTGTAGATTTACATTTAGTTGTGAGAAACAATATAGAGAGCCCATATACCCTTCATCATTTTCCCCCAGTGGTAACAACATCTTGCATAATTATAACTCCAGAACCAGGAATTTGACATTGATACAATCCACCAGCCTTATTCAGATTCACCAGTTTCGCATGTATTCATTGGTATGTGTACACAGGTGCTTCTGTGCACTTTTATCCCGTGTGTAGATTTGTGTGACACCACCACAGTCAGGGTACAGAACAGGGTCATCACAGGATTCCTCATGCTCCCTGCCACCCTCCCTAACCCCTGGCCACCTCGCATCTGTTCTCTGCCTCTGTAATTTTGTCATTTATTATGATTATGTGTAAAAGGAAATGAGTAAGACTTTTCCCACATTCTGGTAATCTTTGTGGAATCCAAAGTGAGCCTCTAATGAATATGATGTTTTGGCCTTAATATTTTGTTTCTCAAAATATGTTAATTTGTCTATATATCTAAAATCTTCTTTTGTTCCTATAACAAGTGAGCATATATCCTGATGCCATCTTTATTATTCTTTAGAACTTATAAGGGCAAAACTAGTTTTCTGTTGAGCTGTCTGTCTCTTGAGGAATGAGGACCTGTCAGAGCCTCCTCATACAGAGAGGTTGCTCCATAGACATTTGTTCAACAAATGCCCTTGATCCAGAGAGCTGACTGAGGGCATTTGGAAAGGATGGAACACACAGAGGATGGGTAAGGGACAGTTGGACTTTAAACCTAATGTCCTAGTCTTATTACTTAGCTCCAAATATTAAATAAATCTCATTTTAAAAGTTTCTTTCAAAACCAAAAAAAACCAAATAGTAATGCCAGCCAATTAGACCTGCTGTGTGTTTAGAAAGAAAACGGCATCTCAGGGCAAAGCATTCTGAAGAGGGAAATAACTGTTCAGTGCACCAGCCTCGAACTTCAAAGAGCAATAGTTTCCCTACCTGCCACCCCCCGTATACACACACACACACACACACACACACACACACACACCTACCTACACACATACATACATACATACACATACATCTGAGCTGCTGCTGCTGCTGCAGGGATCCTGGTTCTGTGCCTGGTTTCTGAAATCTCCTGAGTCTAAAACAGAAAGCACAATGGGCTGTATGGCAGAATGTGTTTTGAGGTAACTTAGTGACCTATTTGGTTACTTGTATGTTTATGATTTAGGTGTTTAGATTTTTATTGTTTTTATTTCTTTTGAATGAACAGCATAGTCCTCATTTTCCAAGGAAGGCATGAAGTCCAGGACCCACAAGGGCTGAGCAAGCACTGTGCTGTGTGGGTGTGGTTGACCTTGACCCAGTGATGGCTGGCCTGAACCTGCCTGGAGAGTGCACCAAGGGGGTGTCTTCTGGGCCTTCTGATGATGAACCAACAGTTGGGGCTCCGGAAAACAAACCCATTATCCCAGTTTGCTCTTTTGCTTTTTACTTCTGTTTTTATCCCATTTCTTTGAACATAAAATCTGAATCTTGAATTGTCTGAAATCCAGGCCCCATGTGGTCTAGTCCAGCGGACGCCAACCTTTTGGACCTCATGGACCACCGGTTGGTGACTGCTGGTCTAGTCCATGCCTACCTTTCTGAGATTCACCTGGTGCCCTTCTCCCTCTGCAGTCCCCCTCTAAGGTCACCTTCCAGGTCTTTCCATAGCTTCATGTTGCTGCCCATGGTGTGTGCTGTTTATTCTACCTAGAACACCATTTGCCCTTCTTCTCTCCACCGGCATTTGTCAGATACTGCTGTGTACTACGCAGAGCTTGGCTTCAACACAGCTTCCTCATGAAAGCCTTCCCTGACCCATCAGACAAGGTCTTGAGCCTCTTCCATGAGCACTCATGGTAGCCTGTACTTTCCTTCACTCCCCTCCTCCCCATTTCTGATGGTGTTTATTGATTCTTGGTTTGCTGGTATCAGTACCCCTAGCCCCACCCCTCCCAAATCCTGGTGAAGATAATGACTCTCCAGTTCCTGCTTCAGTGTCTGGCACATAATAGTTGCTCAGTAGCCGAAACCGGTTTGGCTCAGTGGATAGAGCATCGGCCTGCGGACTGAAAGGTCCCAGGTTCGATTCCGGTCAAGGGCATGTACCTGGGTTGCGGGCACATCCCCAGTGGGAGATGTGCAGGAGGCAGCTGATCGATGTTTCTCTCTCATTGATGTTTCTAACTCTCTATCCCTCTCCCTTCCTCTCTGTAAAAAATCAATAAAATATATTTTTAAAAAAAAATAGTTGCTCAGTAAATATTTGTTGAATTAATGAATTAACTCAGAGAAATGACCACTCCCTAAAATGTCCTTAGGTTTAACATGGAATTTCTGGAATTAGTACCTGTTTTTAAAGGTCTAGGTATATAGTCCTATAAAATTATTGAACTGTCCTTGAGTCTGTGACTTTAATTTGTTTTATTTTTCTTTCAGGTGGGGACCAGGGTTTACTGAACATGTTTTTTAGCAGCTGGGCAACAACAGATATCAGAAAACACCTGCCATTTATTTATAACCTAAGCAGCATTTCTATATACTCCTACCTCCCAGCATTTAAAGCGTAAGTGGAAACTGTTTACTGTTGTTGGGGATGGTGAGGGAAGGGGAGTAGATTTAAGATTTTGGGGTGCATTGTCAGTCTGAGGGCAATAACAGGTGGGAAACTTTGAGGGAAGTCTTTTTCTTGCAAGAAGCATGGCTTGATGATATCGATCCCTATGCCTTTCTGCTTAGAATAACCTTCAGGGCATTTAGCTGCCTATGGGGAAAGGGCCCCATCAGTTCCTGGGTTACCTGGACCTCTGATAAACCATCTGTATGTCATGATCAGGAACAGATTGGGTGCAGACCCAACTTCTGCCTCAGGCTAGCTGCTTAGTTTCTGGTTCCTCATTTGTAAATGAGGGTCTTAACAGCTCCCTCCATGTGGTGCTGGGAGTTAAGCAAGATGCTATTAGCAGTGTGGTGTCATGGCCAAGAGAGGGGGCTGTGGAGCTGTACTCCCTAAGTTCACATCCTGGAGTAGCCACTTCCTGGATGATTGATGGTCACTGAACTTGTGGTTCAACAGAAGTTGGACCTCTCTGCCTCCATGTCCACAGAGGGTACTGTGAGCAGTATGAGAGGTAATCATGTAAAGTGGGAGGAACAGGCCTGACCTGCCTGAGCACTCAGTAAGCGTTAGATGGTTAGTCCTTTCTGTTTGAGAGATGGACTAGCATAAGTAATAATCTCTGAAACCAGGAAGGTGGGTGTGTGGCTTACTCTGCCCTTACCTGCTATCTGGCTTAGGCTCTGTGCCTCAGTTCCCCGTATGCAAAACAGGGAGAAAAATAACATTTACCTCAAAGGGTTGTCATGAGGATAAAGTGAATTCAGTCATGTAAAGTGCTCAGTGGAGGCCGTTGTTTTTGGCAACGTGCTTGTTTGGCACTATCCCTGGTGCTGTTCTAATTCAGCAACCAATGCAGCCAAGTTGCAACACTTGTCTCACTGTGAGTGCCTGGGTCCCATCCTTCAGCCTCTGACTCATTGTGTTGAACCAGAAAGATGACTCAAGTTTCCTGAGTAGAGGCCAAGCTTTCAGGTTGATCCTGAAACAGCCGTGAGCAGCCGAGCTCCCATTGAACTGGGCTTGGCTCTCCAGTCTGTCCCGCCAGGGCATTCCTGGGTGAGCAGAAAACATGCTCTTCATGGTTCCTTAGCCAAAGTCCTCCCAGTAAGTCTAGCACCACAGGAATGAGCATGGACTTTGTGGCAGAAATGTTTCCTGTTCTGTTGTTTTCTGGGCAGACTCTGTCATAGCCCCAGATAAGGATTATAAGTATGTTGTGTGCTTTCCTCCCTACCTATTCTCTTGGCATGTTTCTCTAACATATTGCAGCCTCTTGATTCTCTCCCCTTTCTAGCACAATACAGACAAACTCTCAAATACACCAACTGTGGTTTGAGGAAAGCAAACAGAACAGGAATCACTGTCAAGGGATGGAATAAGAGAAGCATTAATTGCCTCTCAGTCCTTGGCCTTATGAAGTACAAACCTCTCTTGCTTGACAATGTGGGCGTGATTCATTTTAATCCTTACTATCTCATAACCCTGCCAGTTTGAACCATGTTCCTGCAAACCATGATAGCTGACCCCTAGAACTGAATTTGTGTGTAATAGGGTAGTGGCTTAATTTGACTGGATCCAGCTAAGCAAGCAAGAAGATGAGAGTGCGAAGGAGAAGTAATCGTTACTAGTGTGAGCAGCCAGGCCGGCGCGGCTCAGTGATTGAACATCGACCTATGAACCAGGAGGTCATGGTTCAATTCCCAGTCAAGGCACATGCCCTAGTTATGGGCTCAATCCCCAGTGTGGGGCGTGCAGGAGGCAGCCAGTCAATGATTCTCTGTCATCATTGATGCTTCTATATCTCTCTCCCTTTCTCTCTGAAATCAATAAAAATATATTTTAAAAAATAGTGTGAGCAGCTCTAGCCAGTTTGGCTCAGTGGATAGAGCGTTGGCCTTCGGACTGAAGGGTCCCGGTTTGATTCTGGTCCAGGGCACATGCCTGGGTTGCGGGCCCAATCCTCAGTAGGGGGCGTGCAGGAGGCAGTCGATCGATGATTCTCTCTTATCATTGATGTTTCGATCTCTCTCTCCCTTCCTTTCTAAAATCAATAAAAATATCTTCTTTAAAAAAAAAGAAAGGATTATTATTTTTTTTTAAAAATAGTGTGAGCAGTTCTACCCACCATCCCACTCAGTTCTGCAGAGTGAGCACTCGTCCTGGGATAAATATGTGAAGACATGAGAATCTGACATCCTGCCAATTGGTCTCACTTCTCAAATAGGGTAATCCTAGCGTTTAAAGATTCGTGATTTTCTTGTAACATGGTCCCCAGCGCCAAGCAATTCCCCTTCGACTCATTGGGATTCCATCTGACTTTCACCTTACTACCCAACTGAGCACACTGTCCTTTTCATTGATAGCCTGGTTTGCACAGACACTGCTCACATTTGTTTTATTTGACAAAAACAAGCAGGTGGAGCCCAGTTAGTTTTTAGGGGGAAGATAGACTTGTTTGCTAGACCTTGACCCCTCTCTCAGGAACCCAGGTTTTGTTTTGTTTTTAATATTTCCTAAATACATTTCTCAGAAAAACAGTTTGAGATCTAAATTACCAAAATGGTTAGGATGGTCCCGTCTTCCTAGCTCGTTTTGGAAATCTTAGTTTATTAGCATAGTCATAGAGTGTCTGGTGCATGGGGAACTGGGGAGAAGCTCCACCGTTAGTCAGTTGGCCTGCAGCCTGTCAGTGCTGTGTCCTTGCAGCTCACCCCTGGGGGTAGCAGGTCTACTGTTCTGTGGTAGCACTGCTCCAAGCGATGCTTTCTCTCAGCCCTTGGCCACCTGTTTAGTAATGTTGAAACCAGATGAGAGAACTCATTTTCCCTCCCCTCTGCCAGAAAATGCTTTGGGTGGGGCTTTTTGTTTATTTTTTGTAGGTTGTTTTTTGTGTGTTTTTGCAGAGATCCATCTCTAGAAACATTTTTTTCCTTACATTTTTTTTGTGCAATTAAGAAGGGCTAAAAATTCAGGCAGGTAGTTACATTACTTTTTTGTTTCAAGTTCATGTAAAATTGCAATCCAGATCTTTTAAGCTGAAATAGACTATCCTGAACATTTAGGCCATTATAATCCCCAAAGAGCCTGTGGGTCTCTGGGAGCTCAGCATGAATTAAAATCCCTCTGCTGGTCTCAGAACAACCGTGGTGGTCTCCAGACCAAGCAGCCCCAGGGTTTGGCTGGCCTTCCCTCTCACAGCAGGGCAATGGTAGGTGGAATGAGAAGCCATGGAGTGGCCTCTGTTGTTCTTCTCACTTAGGTGTTTTGTTTTTCTTGAGTTGTCAATGCTTAAAAATTGGGGAATTTCACATGAAACCCAGATTTCCAGCTTCTTATGAAAAAAATCAGATATTCAGTGGGATGTGGGAGAAAGATGTCAAAGGTGACTGTTACGACTTGGGACCTAAACAGCTGAACAAAGGAGTTGCCATCTCCTGAGATGGGACAGACCGTGGGTAAATCAGGTTTGTGGATGGATTGCTAGAGATGTATTGAGTGTATTAAGTTTTGGATGTAGTAGGTTGGAGGTACATATTGAACATCCTGGTGAAAATCTACTTATATAAAAACCATGGGTGGTGTTCACCACTACCACAACTGCCACGACTAAGCGGAAGGAAGTCAGTCCTGCAGGGGTAGTCTTGGCAACGGCTGCGCCCTCCCCCGAGCTGTTTCCCAGAGCTATTTCCTGTAAGGGTGAGGTTTGGGGCAGGAACCCGCCCTGGGAGTGTGGAGGCATATCTTTCTAAAGTGTGCCATGCCAGCATGGCAAGGGGTGAACCTGAGTCGGGGCAGCTGAAAGGCTTAGAAAAGACAGACAAGAGAATGAAAGCCGGGTCTCCGTGGGACGCTGCTTCTCTGAGAGACAGCGACCATGCCCACAGCCATGCCTTTATTTTAGAGCAGATGCTACGAGGCAGAGTAAGGGCGTGACCAAGATGTTTACAACATTCTCCTGGGTTTCAATCCTATTCAACTACATGCACCTGAACTCTATCAAGCCCACATCACTCAGGCACGTGGGGTCACATGTTTGGACCATAGGTTCAAGCTTACAACTACAGCTGTTGGCTATAATTGTGCTGGGAGGGCCCTGCCCTCCAAGCTGGGACTTGCACGTGGCAATGAGAGGACTGTGCCCTCTCATCAGTCCAAGGCTTGAACCTGTCCAAAACACTGTAGTGCTCCCCACAATAAAGTTTTAATTCTGTTTCTTTGTTACTGATGTTGTGGCCCCACCCCATAACAAAGAAACAATTCTGGAGGATAAGGCCCAGGAATCAGGATTTTAAAAAGATTCCCAGGTGATTCTAATGTGCAGCCAAGGTTGAGAACCACTGCTATAGATAATATTAAAAATATATCTAAACATGCAATTCTTTGTCCAAAAAATAAGCATTTTCAAAAATTGAATGAAAAAAATTTGGATATACTCAATGGAGATTTTCACACATATTTTGATGATTCTATTGATTCCACAGATGAGGCTGAAAAGGAAATTTTTCCCATCGAATTTCTTAATAGTATTACTCCTTCGGGAATTCCGTGTCATAAATTAAAATTGAAAGTGGGTGCAATCATCATGCTATTGAGAAATCTCAATAGTAAATGGGGTCTTTGTAATGGTACCAGATTTATTATCAAAAGATTACGACCTAACATTATCGAAGCTGAAGTGTTAACAGGATCTGCAGAGGGAGCGGCTGTTCTGATTCCAAGAATTAATTTGTCCCCATCTGACACTGGCCTCCCATTTAAATTGATTCGACGACGGTTTCCCGTGATGCCAGCATTTGTGATGACTATTAATAAATCACAAGGACAAACTCTAGACAAAGTAGGCATATTCCTACCTGAACCCGTTTTTGCACGTGGTCAGTTATATGTTGCTTTCTCTCGAGTTTGAAGAGCATGTGATGTTACAGTTAAAGTTCTGAGTACTTCAT